ATGAGTCTCCTAAGAAGAGGGTAGAATAAGGGATAGGAACCCAGGCCTGAGGCCTGAGAAACACCATGGATGGAGGTTAGGTAGAGAAGAAAGAGCAAGGAATGGAAGGTGTGAAGAGGGAAGGACATTGCAGGAAGATGACTACAGTGTTCCCATTATCCTGTTATCTTAAAGCTTCCCATGGTTTTGACTCCATTCCTTAAGTTTGTAAGATTTTATTTCTTCATTTTTCTCTAGCACCATTGCAAAAGATGAAGTTTTCCTCTTGTTTTATGAGGAAGAAAATCTTTGGTTTATCTCATTTTTATATTTGTTTACTTTTCTGTTAAAATAAGATGAAATTCTGATATGTGTTACAACATGGTTGAATCTTGAAAGCATTTTCCTGAGATAACCCAGACATAAAAGGATAAATATTGTATAACTCCATTTATATGAGATACCTAGAGCAGGCAAATTCATAGAGACAGAAAGTAGAAGTTTCCAGGGGCTGGGCAGAGAGGGGAATGCGGAGCTGTTGTTTAATGGATATAGAGCTTCTGCTTGGATGATGAACAAGTTCTGGAAATAGGGCTTCCCTGGTGGCACAGTGGTTGAGAGTCCGCCTGCCGATGCAGGGGACACGGGTTCGTGCCCCAGTCCGGGAGGATCCCACATGCCGTGGAGCGGCTGGGCCCGTGAGCCATGGCCGCTGAGCCTGCGCGTCCGGAGTCTGTGCTCCGCAATGGGAGAGGCCAAAAAAGTGAGGGGCCCGCGTAAAACAAAAAAAAAAAAAAAAAAAAAGTTCTGGAAATAGATAGAGGTAATGATTGCACAACATTGTGAATGTACCTAATGCCGCAAAACTGTACACTTAAAAATGGTTAAAATAGTAAATTTTGTTTTATATATATATATATATATACACTATAAATATATATAACAAGTATTGTATATTATATATATGCAATATAAATAAAAATTTTTAAATAAACGAATCAAATTATTTTTACAAGAACTTATCTGAACAAGGGGGTAGAAATTCTAACTTCTAGAGAAAATACTTTTTCAAAGCTAAATTAATTCATTGGATGTATAACTTTTTTAATCATAAATATTATTTCTCACTTATTTTTAGATGACACATAAGATAAGGAAGCATGAATTACGTTCTGCATTCTACCCTCTGCATAAAGCGATGTAAATAAGAGAAAAATCTATACAAGGAGAATTCAAGCAGCATTTTTACAAGATTAGCTTTTCCATAATCAAAACCACAGCATCAACTGAACTTACTCTAATTGAGAGAGGTCAGTCTTCTTATCACACATGTCAATTCCATTCTCCTAAAAGCGAAAATGTTTAGAAAACATTGTTTCAGAGGATCTTTATCTACAAAACTAGAAGAGGATAAAAAACCTAATAAGGGTAAGATAAATAGCCAATATTTACTTGTATCAACAGTAAGCATCAAACACTGCATGTAAACTGAGGCAAAACCATCACATGGGTTAACCAATAGTGTGCCACTTGGGGAGTCTATTTCTCTAAGATAACAAATTCTTCTAGCATGCCAAGTAACGTTTAGAAAATTGCCCACTTAACAAAATGCCTATTGTCATTTACGCTTTTTCGCATACTACATCACGTGCATTTGAGCACTTATCTGATTGCATTAGAGATCTCTTTTATACCTCTGTTTACCTTGGTAGATCCTGAGTGTTCGAGTGTATCTATTGTTCCACCCTAGACTAGGCCAGCACCTTCAGAGAGCTCACAGTAAAGGTCCCTGATTCATTTCCATTTAGAACCATTTGGAGGAGGTGTCAAAATGCAGATTCCTGGGCCCCACCACCAGTACATGGAATTAGCACATTTGTAAGGATTTCTAACAGCTCTGATAGGGCCTTCAAACTATCAAGGAGATAATGAACCCAAAAGGCATAACTACCGAAGAGCTAGGGGCTGATATGTCTTTTACTTACACTATTGTTTGTAAATTACTGCCATAAAAATTGGTTGAATAAAGGAGAAAGTGTCACCCTGGGTAAACCTCCATCTTATAACAGGAACAGCTTCTGACTGTTTTGTCTTAAGAGTATCGTAGCAGTGCCTAACTCGTGTATTTTTACTGAATCAAAGCAAATGATTTGGGGATTTTAAAACTAAAAGACCTTGAGGTTATACCTTGTTACAAAATATGTTGAGAAAAAGATATACCAAGGTATGTTAAAAACACAAAGGTCTGGACAATCACATGTGTTATTCCCATTATTTATTTAGACAAAACTAAAAAGTCTGACATTTAAAACCCCAAATTTTTATTGTTTTCACGATAAAAACATTCATCACTTTTTTTCCATGAAAACGATTTTTTATTTGAGGAGTTCTATTTTAAATATAAGAAAGATAAAGTTATGATAGCTTTACAAATAATTTATTTTGATCAATACATGAAGATGTATACATTATAAGTAGAAATACAGTAAATATTACATTTTTAAACAATGTATCAAAATATAATTTGTAATTTCACATATTAATAAATTTCCAAATTCAATCTCAAAAATACATTTTAAAGTATAAGCTATGATTTTTATAAAAGAGGAAAAAACTTTTCTTTATGAAAAAGTAGAATATTTTACCTGTATATAGTCAATGCTATATGCATGGCACAAACAGTTCAAAATACAAAACGTTTACTTAAAACTATCTTTCAGAAATTTTTTTTAAATTTCTTTTTCTTCCTACAGCTTGAAAATATCTAGGGCTATACATAAGTCTCATAGAGATGTAATGTCTCCGATGAAATAAAGATGTCATACTCAACTTTTGTTCGCCCTCCTAGCAGATAATAACCATGAATCATTTCTTAGAACTGGGTTTTCAGGTAATAGGTAGGGACAGGCTGTGCCAGTGGTACACTTCTCAATCTTAGAAATATTTTATAACCATGATACATTACTCTGATATCTCTTTCAGTCTGTGCCAATAAGATAATAAATGTGCATCTTACACAGAGCACTAATGCGTGGGACTGTGAGTTGAATAGCATCTCCTATCTCTCTCTATTCACTCACAGCTTGAGTAAACACTCAACTGTCTTTCTAACCTATTACTTCCTCCAGAGTAACAGCACGCTATTGGTATCCATGTTTTAGACGTATCACAGAGTGAAATGGTAATTATATGGTCACTCTTTTACATCTCTGGAAGATAACTGTACTCTATTTAGAAAAATCATTACTTTGAAAAAAAACACCATTTGCAGGTGAAATTCATTTTGCTACTATGCTAGGAAGGCAATGATAACTGAAGGAACCAGGAAGGCGCTCTCTAGACTTGACGGAGGTCTAGCGACATGGACCCAAATAAAGTGCGCTTTACTTGGAAAATGTCTATTTGTTAAAGCTATGGGGGGAAATACTGCAAATTAAACATCATGTGGACAAATTATCTCTATTTAGCTAATTATCTGTCACATTATACTATTGGCTACAGCAGCCCCAAGCAGAGGTTAACTGATTACAGCTTTTATAGTTGAATTCTTTCTTTAAATTATTTATTTATTTTTGGCTGTGTTGGGTCTTCGTTGCTGCGTGCGGGCTTTCTCTAGTTGCGGTGAGTGGGGGCTACTCTTTGTTGCAGTATGTGAGCTTCCCATTGCAGTGGCTTCTCTTGTGGAGCACGGGCTCTAGTCATGCAGGCTCAGTAGTCGTGGTGCACAGGCTTAGTTGCTCCGCAGCATGTGGGATCTTCCTGGACCAGGGCTCAAACCCGTGTCCCCTGCATTGGCAGGTGGATTCTTAACCACGGCACCACCAGGGAAGCCCTATTAGTTGAATTCTTAAAGAGTTTCACATCATATAATTATATAATTGTATTTTTGAAACATCACAGAAACCCAAAATGTACCCATTTGTAGTCATCAGAATGTGTAGACCTGCTGGGAGCCAAGCTGTGTTCAAGACCCCATTGAACCCAACGTTCACTCATCCTTTGCATTCTTTCCACAAAGAAAACAGAGTGTGCTCTTAGTGGCCACTGAAAGATGCTGTTTTGCATGAAAGGAAATCAAGAATAAAATAATCAAAATCTTAAAAAGAATGAAACAATCATCCTCCACTTGGGGGAAAAAAAGTTCTTAGAGAACAAGAGAAAACAACAGAGGCCTTCTGAAAACGTTTAGTGTTGCCAATAAAATGGCACAGTTAAAAAAAAAAAGACTTCATCTCATTGTAGCAGTAGAAGGGTAGCTCCCACTTGTAGACTGTGACATCCAAAAAGAAACCCTGTTCCTTTTGTGCACTGAGAGTTTTACCAAAAGGCACAAAGTTCACAAAGAGATATATTTTCAGGTAAGAGAACAGAGTGAAGAAACTTACTTTGTTATCAGTTTATCAGTAGAGGTAACAGAGAAAGACATTTCAAGAAAAAAAAACTGTTAGTAGTAGAACACCTGTGCCCAGCTGACACCCTTTATGCTCATTTGATGCTAACAAGCAAGTTACAGTTGCAGCTGTACATGGCGTCAGTACCTTACACATCAAAATTCTAGAAAGATCATGGTAACCACTTTGTGAATATGAGATTCCACAAATCACAGGGAATTTGCACCAAGTGTCAGTGTTCATCCATATCCAAAAGGAAAGGAGGATCAGACAGCCATCAATAATAAACAATGACTCATCATTTCAAATCTAACATCTAGTGCCAAAAATTTTATTTTTTGCTTAAACCGAAATATTTCTGTGGGCCTCTTAAGTCATCCAATAACTTTCCTATCCTATGAGAAGTGATATTAAGAATTAGTATGGGGGCTTCCCTGGTGGCGCAGTGGTTGAGAGTCCGCCTGCCGATGCAGGGGACACGGGTTCGTGCCCCGGTCCAGGAGGATCCCACATGCCGCGGAGCGGCTGGGCCCATGAGCCATGGCCGCTGAGCCTGCGCGTCCGGAGCCTGTGCTCCGTAACGGGAGAGGCCACAACAGTGAGAGGACCGCGTACCGCAAAAAAAAAAAAAAAAAAAGAATTAGTATGTATTTGGGGACCTCTGAAAGAAATTCACTAAACAAGTAGCAACAAATTACCACAGCCTGGGCTGAATGCTATTTCCAAATGATGGGCAAGGGCAATAAGACAATCCACATTCCATAAACTGCTTTTGTTACATGTTAATGACTGCAACAGTTTCTGTGCAGGTTTCAGATTAATGAGACAAAGAATACCAAGATTCATAGAATTAAATTTATGTGAAAAAGAGAGCAGAACGCAGTAAAAGTGAAGTTGCACCAGAAAACAAGAGTTATCTAAGCATCAACCCAGCATGAAAAGGGAACTACTTCTGATTTCCTAGAATACACCCCTCACAGGTTATTATTTCTGATTACCACGGCAGCATGCAGCATTTTCCATCTAACATTTTAGAAGAACACTTGGTCACACCATGCTCTGCCTTATTAAATGATCTATGTGGAAACCATTCATTTCCATTTCTCTTACATGTGTAAAATGTCAAGTTAAGAGTGATAAAACAGTCATTTACCCTCAATTTTCTCAATAATGTAAGGTTTCAGAGAGAGTGCATTAGAACTCTAAAATAATAAGCTAATATATTTTCTCAATTTTCCCTTCCTCCTGCATTTTCACTAGGGGGAAATCTACTGCTGATAGTATCTCCTTTTAAGTTCAGGAGGCTTAAAAGTGTTGCTCTAACAAAAAAAAAAAAAGTTTTGCTCTTTAACCCCCAAAAATGTTCTCAAACATAGTTATTTTCTGAGTAAACATCTTTCAAAAGAAAAGTTCTGCAAAGACTATAAAAACTTTCCCTGGAATGCTTCTAAAGGGTAACATAACAGTAGGTATGGATGGAAAAGAAATAGTGTTGTAAGAACTGCTACAGAAAAATCAAATATAAGTGGTTTCTACCGTATCTGCCTCTCTTTCACCTTCTTCTACATGTGCAAATACATACACAACACAATAGATTTCAACAAGTTTAAGAAGCAAGGAAGCAATTACAAAGAAGCAAAAAATAAGTCAATCAATCCTTGTTTTACAAAGAGAGTAAGTAAGCCATAGACATCAACAGGCTATAGGAATCTTCCTCTCCTTATTCAGTGGATTTAAAAAATAATGTTTCTAGACCTCTAGTAGGCATAATTCGTATTTCATGTCCTGAACATATCCTGTTCAAGCTAGTATAACAAAATGAAGATGCTATGAGGCAAATTATACTCCAATCCTCGTCTTCACTGCATTAAGATTTTGCAAAAGAACTACAAAGCGATTTCAATCAACTACTTATACATGGAAAACAAAACATGGCTGTCAATGGGGACCAAAATAACCTATCTAGAAATACTCTCTAAAACTAACTTTAAAAAGCTTTTAAATGAGTATTAAAATTGATCACGTTTTAGGTAATTTATCTTAAGTATACCACATATGCAACTGCATTAAAAAGTGCCCAGAAATCAAAACTATATTTCAAAAGAATGTATTCATACACATAAAACAAGCCAGAGTCCATAACAGTGTCTAAAAGCAGATTTTAACTTTTTTTTTTTTATTCCTCCAGAGACGATGATTCACATCATAATCACCCTCATTTGGCATCACCAATGACTCCCCAAACATCAAAGACAAACTCATCTGGGAACGCAAAGTCTCCAAGGGTTTCATCAAGTGCCACAGCAAATTCATCCGGATTACCTTTGTCCTTTCCAGCTTCAAACATTGTAGTAGCTATCAAAAATAATTTTTAAAGATTAATTAGCATCAGAAGACTGAGAAAAATGACACCAAGGCAAAATACTTTCTAAAAGTAACATGCATAAGTCTATTCCCATAGATATTGTAGAAGGAGATGCATGTCTATGTGCACCAAAATCCATGGGCAATAAGGTTCATAGGCAGTATTATTCACAACAGCCCCAACCCAGGAAGACCCCAGGTATCTATCAGTAGGAAACTAAATAAACATAATATAATCATACAATGAACTTATACACAGCAATGAAAGTGAACAAACCACAGCTAATATACCAGAACATTCTCAAATCTCCCAAATGTGACATTAAGCAAAAGAAGCCAGACACAAAGGAATCATACTATATTATTCCATTTACATAAAGATAAAAAAAACTGGCAAAACAAATTTATGGCTAAGTTGGGAAAGTGGTTACTTTTGGAGAGGAGGGAACAGGCAATAATTGGGAGAAAGCATAAAGAGGGCTTTTGAGTACTGGCAGAGTTTTATTTCTTGACATGAGTGGCGGTTAAATAAGTGTTCATACTGTGAGAATTTTGTGTTGTATACTTATAACTTGTTCATTTTTCTGTATGCATGTGTATTTAGCATTAAAGAGTTTAAATAATAAGTCATTCATTCGTTCAAAAAAATTTTTAATAAAAGGAACATGCATAGATACATACTTCTAGTACAAATTAAAATAAGTTACTCTCTATCATTACACATCAAGGTAGCAAAGATGTTTTAAACATTCTGTCTTCAGCACCCTGGTTTGCATCTTCTACCCCTGTCTTCTTCTCCATCTTGGAGCTCATCAGGTGGAGCCTCTGGTGTCCCTATGGGTGGAGCAAGGGCTCCTGTGGCTAAGCCTGATGGGAGACCCAGAGTACATCCGCTCCCCACCCCCCTTAGTCACTAGCTTTCTCCGTCCCCTCTTCCACTCCCCACTCCCAACTATAAAAAAGACAAAGGATAACAGCTTGCAACGGGGCAATCAAGCTAGGGAGAAGGGGAGGAAATCTGTCTCTTCGTGGAATCAAGGAAACTTTTTTTGAGCCCCTTTCCAGTTTGGGATAGAAAGCAAAGATGGTGCCCTTGTTCTGTTTTTCTAATAAGTTGCCTGGATCCCATATTTTATGTCTGGGGAACCAGCATCTTCAGGAGTACACATTCCCCTGGGACTTGTCCCTCCTGGCTGGGAGCCCATAAGGCTCAGCTGTTTTTTTTCTCAGCCCCCTATAAGCACTAGCTACCAGGAAGAGACAGTGTGGGTGTGATTTGGGACTTGGGTGAAAAAAACCCAGGTAAAAGGGAAACACCAAAGCCCAGCCTCTTTTTCCCTCCCAAGTTAAGGTTAAACAAATCAAAGGTTGTATGATTTCTCTGAATGAGCCAAGAGGTCTGGTCTTTCCAGCTAAAATCCACTAGGGCTCTGGAGAGCATTTAAGAACTGTTCCTCACCTCGAACAGCTCAGTACTAACACAGGTAGGCAAGGGGGAAGGCAGGAGATGTAGCCAATAGAAGGGCACCACAATCAGAGCAGAAGTGGATGGGGTGACCTGGGGCAGGGGTCAAAGCCCTAGTTAAGGTGAGGAGGGCTTCCACATAGCTGGACAGGTTGGTGTAGGGTGGAGAGTCCAGGTGTGGTAAGGAGGGCATGGGGGCAGGGGAGAAGAGGACAGCAGGCACACTGATGAGAGATTGGTTACATACAAGGGCATGCATCACATACATGTATATACACCAAATAATGGGAACCACGTTTTGTCACTGTCAGAGAAAGACAAATAGGAAAAGGGAGAAAACTAGAATGATTGCTGCTAAATTAGAATTGTAGAGATCAGTGAAATATTTTTTTTTTCAAAAGAGAGATTAAAAACTATAGAGGTAAAGACATGAACACAGGGCTTCCGTGGTGGTACAGTGGTTAAGAATCCACCTGCCAATGCAGGGGACACAGGTTCAAGCCCTGGTCCAGGAAGATCCCACATGCTGCGGAGCAACTGAGCCCGTGCACCACAACTACTAAGCCTGCGTACTGAGCTGCAACTACTGAAGCCCACGAGCCTAGGGCCCGTGCTCCACAACAAGAGAAGCCACCACAATGAGAAGCCCGCACACCACAATGAGGAGTAGCCCCCACTCGTCACAACTAGAGAAAGCCCTCATGCAGCAACGAAGACCCAACGCAGCCAAAAATAAATAATAAAATAAAATAAAATAAAAAGACATGAATACACACATTCCTCAATCCACTGTGGGGAGCTGGGAGCAGTGACACCCCAATAGCAATGAGCACACAAAACACCCAGATCTTGTTTCCCAAATACCATTTTCCACTAAAAAGAATCAGAGTTCCTCAGAGAAATGGCTGATTCCAGGGCTGGAGCAGGAAAAGTACAATATGAACTAAGAATAACTTCTGCCAGAAAGTAAGAAAGTCTCAAAAAAAAAAGGTAGGAACATGTGAAAAGACATAGAAGTCAGAGTGGAATAATGCCCACTGACCAAAATGAGGGACAATTTGAGCATCAGAATAAGTAGTGATGGTCATAGATTATAATCCTATTGAACAAAACAGCAAACCATGAATCCATAATGAAATGATTGGTTGACTGACAAATAGATGGATGAAAGGTTGGTTGGTTGATTCATGAGGAACAGGATATTTACATAGCTTCAAAATATCTCCTCACCAAATACTTATTATGAAGAGAATAACTTGACAGTGGAGAAGCTTAGTAAATATCACCTAAACAAGTCATCAACATAAACAATATCATAAACAGAACAAATCAAAATCCCGTGCCTCCAGGTAAGATGTAATGAAAAGAACACAGCACCACATTTGTGATATCCCTGCCAGAGGTGTAACTTGAATGTTATTATGGAAAAATAATCCAAAAATGAGGAACATTCTGCAAAAAAACTGGTTTGTACCCTCCAAAAGTGTCAAGGTCATGAAAATCAGGAGTGGAAAACGCTCCAAATTGAGACAAGTAAAAGTAACACATGATTTTGAACATGCTCTTTTGCTGTAATGGATATTAAGGCACTTGGTGAAACAAAAACAGGATATGATTAGATGTTAGTAATGTATCAATGTTGATTTCATGATTTGGACGGTTATATTAGGGTTACACAAGAGAATACCTCTGTTTAATACCTCTTGTTACACAAGAGAATACCTTTGTTTATAGGGAATACGCACTAAAGTATTTGGGGGCAATTGTATATCATTAATTTATTCTCAAATGGTTCAAGAGGAAAAAATTTTATACTGTATAACTTTTCTCTAAGTTAGAGATTGCCTAAAAAAAATATTTTACGCGGTAAAAAGTGAGGAAAATTGAATCTCTTCATTATCATCTCGCTGTCTCTCACGTTGCCCCAGGCTTCAGCCATGACCCAAAAGCTCCTTGATTTACCATTAACCTAGAAGCAAACACTTCAAAAGGGAGGAAGGTCCAGCCGCAGCTGGACCTTCTTCTCCAGCCCAAGGGCCTGCCAAGTTTACTAAAACATTTATATATATATATATATATATATATATATATATATTTTTTTTTTAATGATATGCTAAGGCTGGCCAGGATATAGTGAAGCAAACACTCAAATATACTGGTGTGGACTTTGTAAATTTGGCTTTTGAAAAACAATTTGGCAACAAGTACCAATCTTTAAAAATGTTCACATCCTTTGATCTACTAATATTTCCACTTCTGTGAATCTATACATTTTTTTCTCCCAGCTTTATTAAGATAAAATTGATATACATCACTGCATAGATTTAAGGTACACAGCATAATGATTTGACTTATATATATCATGAAATGATTACCACAATAAGTTTAGTGAACAACCAGCATCTCACATAGACACCAAAATTTTTTTTTGCCTTGTAATGAGCTCTTCGAATTGACTCTCTTAACTTTCATATACACCATACAGCAGTGTTAGCTAGAGTCATCATGTGTACATTACATCCCTAGTACTTATTTATCTTATAACTGAAAGTTTGTATCTTTTGACCACCCTAATCCAATTCCCCTCCCTCTCACCCCCTACTTCTGGTAACCGCAAATCTGATCTTTTTCTGAGTTTGGTTTTTTGGTGTTCTGTTCTTAGATTCTACATATAAGTGAGATTATACCATATTTGTCTTTCTCAGACTTATTTCACTTAGCATAATGCCCTCAAGTCTCATCCATGTTGTCACAAATGGCAGGATTTCCTTTCTATGGCTGAATAATATTCTATTGTATATATATCTCAACTTCTGTATTCATTCATCTGCCAGTAGATACTTAGGTTATTTCCTAAGTCTATTTTCTTAGGCTATTGCGAATATGCTGCTATGAACACAGGGGTGCAGATATCTCTTCAACATAGTGTCTTCTTTCCTTCACACAAAAGAATCTACACTTTTTTTTTTAAATCTTAAAAACAGAAAAGAATTTAGGAGAACATTTTTATTTTAAAAAAACCTAAGATGCAGGATCATGTTTTTTATTTAATAAGATACAGGATCATTAAGTCACCTCTAGTATGATGAAATATATTTGATGAAATATTTTGAAGTAATTTTAAACAATGTTTATAACTTTGTAATAACCTGAGAAAATCTTTTTAATATTTACTGAAAAAGCAGTACATAAATTTTATATTACAATCACACTATGTTTTTTACAAAAATCTCTACATAGGATGGGTAAAGGGAGAAGTGTATGTTAAAGCAATTATAATCAAATATTAACGGTAGAATCTAGGTGACAGGTATGAAGTACTAAAAAGTCTTTCAACCATACTGTATGTTTGAAAATCACTGTAATAAAATATTAGAGAGAGAAACTTCTACACAGACAACGAAAGAAAAAAAAAATTTTTTTTTTAAGAAGATGTTGGGAGTAGGAGTTTATTAAATTATTTATTTATTTTTGCTGTGTTGGGTCTTCGCTTCTGTGTGAGGGCTTTCTCTAGTCGTGGCAAGCG